GGGACATATTGGCTTCACCAGATTGCCAGATGGGTTCAAGGCACAGAAAAGGTGAAGTTTGTCACTTAGTATACTCAACCTTGGACTTCAGTCTCAAGGCTAAATCTCAGGGTTCATTCAGAGGTCTTGGTTTGTTGGAGCCCAGAGTGGGGCTCCAAGTGTAGATATTTCTAGAAGATCTACTGTGATATTGTGATTTATAATAAGAAATACATATTTGGTCTTTGACCCTGTTCCTGGCACAGAGCTCCTAAAATCTTTGTAACCTCCTAAGTGATGAGAACGGTAAAAGGTATCTATTGTTATGTTAGTGAGGTGACTTTTGGAAAGCCCGTAGGTAACAAAGGATGGGGGCTGGTTGCCTATAGAGCCAACCCTATGATTATAAGTTTGGAAGTTTCAGTCCTCTTGGGAGAGGAGAGGGGCTGGAGGTTGAATTCAATCACCAAAGGCATTGCAGACACCACTGCCCTGGAGCCTCCCATGTCACCAGCCATAGTCAACCACACTGTGCACATTGCCGTGGATAGTGAGCCCTTGGGCTGCATCTCCTTTGAGGTAAGGGACCTGGAAACCAAGAAGTGACTGCTCATCTAATCCATAAAGCTGTTTTAACAGATTGCAGCTCTTTGCAGACAAAGTTCCAAAGACAGCAGAAAACTTTCATGCTCTGAGTACTGGGAAGAAATGATTTGGTTATAAAGGTTCCTGCTTTCACAGGATTATTCTGGGATTTCTGTGCCAGGGTGGTGACTTCAAACGCCATAATGGCACTGGTGGCAAGTCCATCTATGGGGAGAAATTTTGATGATGAGAGTTTCATCATGAAGCATATGGGTCCTGGCATCTTGTCCATGGCAAATGTTGGACCCAACATGAACAGTCACCAGTTTTTCATCTGCACTGCCAACACTTGAGTGGTTGGATGGCAAGCATGTGGTCTTTGCCAAGGTGAACGAGGGCATGAATCTTGTGGAAGCCATGGAGCGCTTTGGGACCAGGAATGGCAAGACCAGCAAGAAGATCACCATTGCTGACTGTGGACAAATCTAATAAATTTGACTTGTGTTTTATCTTAACCTCCAGACCATTCCTTCTGTAGCTCAGGAGAGCACCCCTTCACCTCCATCTGCTCGAAATATCCTATAATCTTTGTGCTCTTGCTGCAGTTCTCTGGGTTCCATATTTTCCTTACTCCAAGTCTAGTTGGATTGCAGAATGAAGTTTATGATTATGAAATAAAAGCTAAACAACAGCACCAACAACAAATCACCAATGTCTGATCATGCTTATGTAATGAAGCCTCCATAAAAACCCTGTCAGAGAGCCTCTGGGTTGATGATCACAGGGAGATTCACAGAGAGCATGGAAGCTCCCTGCTCCTTCCCACACACCTTGCACTATGCATCTCTTCCATCTGGCTGTTCCTGACTTATATCCTTTTATAATAAACCAATAATCTAAACTTTAGTTAGTTTATTTATTTATCTATCTACACCCAGTGTGGGGCTCCAACTCATGACCCCAAGATCAAGAGTCACATGATCTTCTGACTGAGCCAGCCAGGTGTCCCTAAACTGATGATCTAGTAAGTAAAATGTTTCTCTGAGTTCTGTGAGCCACTCTAGCAAATTAATTGAACCAGAGGAGGGGGTTGTTGTGCCCACCCATATGTAGCTCTTTGGTCAGAAGGGCAGGTGACAACCTGCACTTGTGTTTGGCATGTGATGTGTGTGTGTGTGTGTGTGGAGGGGGGCAGTTTTGTAAGACTGAACCTTTAACCTGTGGGATCAGAGGCTATCTCCAGGTAGGCAGTATCAGAAGTGAGTTGAATTGGAGGACACACAGCTGATGTCAGAGAATTACTTGGTGGTGTGGGAAAAACCTCCACAATACACTGGAACTGGTGACCAGCATCTTACCTACTCTCTCCATATACATTTGAGGCCTTAGACCCTGGAAACTCATGCAGAGGTGATTAATCTCAATATCTTTGGGCTTCTTTGAACTCAATTTAAGTTGCTGAGTCTGTTGGAATGAGTCTCAATAGTTCTGTAGGAGTTCATGGTTCCTGAAGTTATCAGCCTGGGAACGCTCATGGTTATCATTACACACCATGTTGTTTTCTGCCTCTGTGTCTTTGTATATACATTGTTTCCTCAGCATGAAAGTCTCTTTCTCTCTCTCTCTCTCTTTTTTAGTAACACATCCCACCACCTGGCAAAATTCCACTCAAACTTCTAAGAATCAGCTCAAGCATCATCTCTGAGAGCCTGCCACAAGCCCCGAGGCTGGGTCAGGGGCCCCCTCTGCTGGACTCTCATGAGCTCTCTGTGCTCCCTTCTCCTCACATTGCACAGAGATGTATTTATTATAGAACTAGTAAAGCTTAAGCCTCAGCACCCCATACTTACACAGGCCACTTCCCAGTCCCTGATTATTGAGCACTGTCAATTGGAAGAGCATTTAAGATTTGTCACTGCACAAGAACAGTTAAAATACTCTGAAATTTTATAGCTCACATGTAAAGAAACTAGATAGAGGTTCCCCCAAATTTAACAACAACCTTAAAATTTACCTTACTAATAACAAATTGTGAAGTCAAAACTTTTCTAACCTACCAATAAAAATTTTCATCAACTGAATGACATTGAATTCAATTGAATTCTTTGTATTCTCTCTAGAAAATGTTATTATAAAACAATTGTCCTATTCATTTAGAAGAGGGTATCAAGGAACTTGCAACCAAAGCAAAAATTAGTGGAGATGGGGCACCTGGGTGGCTCAGTTGGTTAAGCAGCTGCCTTCAGCTCAGGTCATGGTCCCAGGGTCCTGGGATGGAGCCCCACAGGGGTCCTTGCTCACGGGGGAGCCTGCTTCTCCCTCTCCCTCTGCTGCTCTCCCCGCTTGTGCTCTCTGTCAAATAAATAAATAAGATATTTAAAAAAAATTAGTGGAGAGGCAAGTCAAAAAATTGATAAAAAATATTTTATTTGGGGGGGGTTGAGAATGTTTATGGTATTTGTCAGTTTTTTAAAATTTTTGTAATTTGTAACATTTGTGATTTCTTTTATAAAAATAAAGCAATACTTCCATACCTAATTTGTACTATTTCTCTTAAACACAGTTTGCAAAATTCTATCTGCTTCAAGCCCTTTAACACCTAGATTCACCCAGAGCACTGATCATTCTCTAGGGTCCTTGGCCAGTCTTGCATGACAGACTGTAAACTCCTTAGGCATTTGATCAAACCCCATGTGTAACCCAGCAGCATTCAGCACAGGCCCAGGCACAGAAGTTTCAGTACTGTTTGTTAACATGGTCTAGTCCAAATTTTGCAATCCTTGCTGTGAGAGGAAAGCACCTATGCTATTTTTCTAAGAACAGCTTTATTGAGATATTATTTATATGTCATAAATTTCACCCATGTAAAGTGTAAAATTCAGTGGTTTTTAGTATATTTACAGTGTTGTGCAACTGTATTCGTTTGCTAGGGCTGCCATAACAAAGTACCACAGACTGGTGGCTTTAACAACAAAAATTTATTTTCTCGAACTTCTCAAGCTTTGAGACCAAGGTGTCAGCAGGTTTGATTTCTTCTGAGGCCTTTCTCTTTGGTTTGCAGATGTCTACCTTCAGTGTTTACAGAGTCATTTCTCTGTGTATCTTGTGTCTCTCTCTATGCCCTATCTCCTTTTCTTATGAGGACACCAATCATATTGGATTAGCATGTACCTCTAAGGCCTCATTTTACCTTATTTACCTCTTTAGAGGCTCTGTCTCCAAATACAGTCGCATTCTCAGGTATTGGGGGTTAGCTCTTCAACATATGAATGGAGGGGATGACACACAACTCAGCCCCCAACAGCAACCATCACACATCTAATTTTAGAACATCTTCATCTCCCCCCAAAGAAACCCCATTTCTCCCCCTCCCCAAGACCCGGGCAACCCATTAACCTATTCTCTATCTCTGTAGATTTGCCTATTCTGTACATTTCATATTAAATGGTATCATACAATATGTAGTCTTTTTTGGCTAGCTCGTAGTGATGCCATCTCTTTCATTCTGATTTCAGTAATTTGAGTCTTCTCTCTTTTTTATTTAGCCAACCTAGCTAAAAATTTGTCAATTTTGTTGATCTTTTCAAATAACCAACTTTTGTTTCACTGATTTTCTCTATAGCTTTTGTTTTCTATTCCATGTATTTTCTGTCCAATCTTTATTATTTCCTTCCTTCTGCTTGCTTTGGGATTACTTTGTTCTTCTTTTTCCAGTTTCCTAAGGTGAAAAGTTAGGTTATTAATTTGAGATCTTTCTTCTTTTTTAATATGGGTGTTTATAGCTATAAAATTCACTTTAAGCATTGTTTTAGTTGCATTTCATAAATTTTGGTGTGCTGTGCTTTCGTTTTCATTCCTTTCAATTTGTTTTCCAGTTTCCCTCATGATTTTTTCTTTGACCCATTTGTTATTTAGAAGTGTGTTAATTTCCACATATTTGTGAATTTCACAAATTTCTTTGTTATTGATTTCTAATTTCACTCCATTGTGGTGGGAGAACACACTTTGTATGATTTCAATCCCTTTAAAGTCTATTGAGGCCTGCTTTATGACTTAGCCTATGGTCTGTCGTGGAGAACGTTCCAGGTGCACTTCAGAAAAATGTATATTCTGTTGTTGCTGTTGGGTGCAGTGTCCTATGGGTGTTAGGATGCTTTTTTTTAAAATGCGGATTTTAAGGCGATGCTCCCTGAGGTTGATTCCTCTGTTCCAAGGCCTGGAATCCGTATCTTTATTAAGTTCCCACATTTTTCAAGAACCCATGGCCCCGCGCGACCTCCACTCCTGGCTTCCTTTGGTTTATTACATAGGCGTAACCGAGGTGATGTCATCCATTGCTCTGACAGACCTTTCTATTGCTCTAGTCTTGCTGCCAGGTCCGCGGAAAGGCACATCGGCGTTCTCAGGTTCGGCTTTCGGCTCCTTCGGCCTGGGCCTTGCTGCGTAGCGATTGGGCCTCCTGGGCATCACGTGGTCTGAGGCTGGAAATGGCAGGAGCTGGGGAAGATTCGCGGGCGCTCTTCGGGGCTGGCGTCCGCGCGGCGCTGGAAGCCTGGCCGGCCTTGCAAGTGAGTGGGGCCACGGCTAGGATAAAGGTTAGGGTCTGGGGCAGAACAGGAGTTGGCTGGACTTCGCGCCTGAGGCTCCACCGGGCCGCATAAACAGCCAACCCTACACCTCCCCAGGCCGGCTTCCAGGCTGACGTGGTGGGCTCGGGCCTATGTTCGCAGATCGCTGTGGAGAATGGCTTCGGGGGCGTGCACAGCCAGGAGAAGGCCGAGTGGCTGGGGGGTGCAGTAGAGGAGTACTTCTTCCGCAATGGTGAGTGAATGTGAGGCGCTGCGACCTGTCTGTGGGGGCGTGGGGAGGAGGAGGCGGGTCCTAGGGAGCACGCAATTCCTCTTGAACAGTTGTGGGACGGTACCCAAGGTCGAAGTAGAATGAATACAGGCTTTGGGAGTCAGAATCTTGAATTCTGATGCCTTACAGGCTGTGCCATCGACCCGCGGTATCACTCTGGACAAGTTATTTTACCTGAGACTCCGTTTCCTAATTCCTGAAATGGATATTAAAGTACCCATCTCAGCACTGTCCAATAAAAATACAGTGCGAATCACATCATGTCATTTAAAATTTTCTAGCAGCCGCTTCAACAAAGTAAAAACAAGCAGATGAAATTGTTACTGAACTCAGTATATCTAAAGTATTTCAGCAGGTAATCAGTATAAAAGATTACTAATGAGATATTTTACATCCCTTTTTAGTATTAAGTTTTCAAAATCTGGTGGGTATTTTACAATTTTAGCACGTTTGCAGTGTGCCTAGCCACATTTTGAGTGCTCAGTAACCACATTTGGTTATTTGGGCAGCACAGATCTACACCTTCGATGTGTCTTGAAGGTCGTGTAAGAATAGGGGACCCTGTAGAGGGTCTTTTGCATATTAAGATTTTTACAAAATTCTTTATTCAGGTATTTAGTCTTGTAGATGACATTAGGCAGAGTTCTGTCAAGGAAGTTTACCATCTAGTGATGGATCCACTTAAGTAAGTAGGCATTTACACTCGGGGTGATAGATGTTCTAATAAGGAGGAGCTCAGGGTGCTTGGGTAGCCTGAGACTGAGGAGGCTTTTGGAGATTGTTCAGGGAGGTAGTGATTGGATTGAGTCTTAAGGGATGAAAAGGAGTTAACTAGGTGGGGGACACAGAGAGCAACACACAAATAAGTTCTGTGGTATGAGAAGATGATGTGTTATATTTGGAAAGTGGCAGGGAGCTCAGTATTGGAGTAAGGGTGTGGGTGCGCTTGTGGGTATAAGGAGGGTAGGAGTGGTTGAGAATGAAGCTGGGGGGGTGGGGAGGCCCCAGGAAGAGGTTAAGACGTGGAAGACCTTACATGCCTTTGGTTTTGTCTGTTAGGCCAGCATTTGCCAAAATGTAGGCTGTGGAAGACTAGTTCTGTGAAGAAAAAGCTTCTCCAGTCAAATTATGTAAGAACTTTTTTTCAGCTCCTCCTTAGGAGTCATAATAATCATTAACATAATAAAAGCTTGGATAAAGATAAGAACCACAAAAAAGAAGCCTCTTTTCCTTTGTTTCCCGTTAGCTTTCTATGGATAGCTTCCTTTAAAAACCAGCAGGACAGCTATTTCTGAAAAGCAGGATATGAAACACTGCTGTAGGTGATAAAAATTCATGGGCCCTTTCTAAGGTGAGTAATGGGATGGGATTTGTTGACTAGAAAGTTCAGAAAATAATCCGTATGGAGCGTGGACTGGAGAGGGAAAGACTGATGAGAAGGTTATTTCTGTCTAGAAAATAATGAGGCCCGAACTAGGGCAGTGGCAGTAGCAATGGATTAGGGCCTTGGAGATTGTTCGGCTGTGAAGAGGGAGGGAAAAGGAGGCAGGTTTCTGGTTTGAGTCGCTGGGTGGATTAGGTGCCTTTCATGGAATAGAGGAACCCTGGAGGACGAGAAGTAGGTTTGAAGGGTAAGGTGATGAGTTTGGCTTTGGATATGGAGGGCCTGAGGCATCTGTGAAACAGGTAGAGTGTAGTCTGGGTTGGAGACAGCTTTGGGGGATATTAGATGAGAGTGGTAAGGAAAGTCAAGGGAGTGAATTGAGCTCTCCCAGAGGGAAGGGAGAGTGAGGAGCTTTGTGGAAGACTCTCTTGAGTAATTCTCTAATTCAGAAAAAGTAGAGCATGGGCCCAGAAGGTAACTGAAGCCTAGAGGGGAGGGATTAGCCAAAATCACACAGTAGGATGTTGATGGCAAGGCTGTGATGATTTCATCATTGGAAGTACATAACATCCATTTTTTCTTACCTATCCCGTTCAGTGGAGCACAGTTGTGAAGGGTTTCTACATTTCAGAAACTTCAGCCCTTGAGTGATGGAGATTAACATGGATTATGGGTCTCTCCTATGTTAGGCATTATTTAGGGGACTCCTCATAACAGACCTCCAAGAAGGCCACTATTAGCCCCACTTTGTAGATGAGAAAACAGGCACAGAGATAAGTAACTTGCTCAAGGTCACAGAGAGGAGGCCAGTTAAAATAGGTCAGATGAAAGAGGGTGAGTGTGGTTGGGATGCTGTGGGAATAAGAGGGTTTGGTAGGACGCAGGAGATTGGAAATTAGGTATTTATATTTAGTGTTTGTTTGGTGGGTTTTTAAAAATCACGTAAAAACCTGGAGTACAGAGCACTACAGTGAATAAAAGGCTCGCTGTTTGGGCCTTTACCCACCAATCACATGTGGACTCACCAAGTAGGTATTGAATAGTAGTGGGCCAGAGTGATTCAGTTGGCTGGTCTTTGCTTTCCTACTCAGCTGACTTGGAGCTAGATGAGGTGGAGGATTTCCTCGGGGAGCTCATGACGAACGAATTTGATACAGTTGTGGAGGATGGGAGTCTGCCCCAGGTGAGCATATCGTGGACATAACTGCCATTTCCCTGCCCGCAGTCTTTCCTCTCCCTGTCTGTTTTTAGGCCAAGACTCTTGGGTCTAACCATTCTTTTCTTGAGTCCTGCACAAGAACCTTCTGTGACTCCCTTTTGCCTAAAGGGAAAAGTCTCGTCTTCCCAGGTCTTTCCAAACTCTGCCTCTTCTCTTTTATTTCTCTCCATACAACATTCTCAGCCGGGTCCGTTCTTCACCCCCATCCCAAGGGCAGGTCAGGCCAGGTACATTTCCACCCCTCTTCTGGTTAACATTTCTCCCCATCAATTCCTGCTGGGCTTGCCTTCTCTTTTACCTCTTCTGTCTTTCAAACCGAGTTCTAGTGCCTTCCTTGCTAGGAAGCTCTCCTTCTGTACTTTAGGCTCTTACCTGAGTCTTTCATATATGGTTCCTTCATTAGTGAACTCCTTGGGGAAGAAAAAGCCCCATTCTCTTCTGGAAAATCCCAAACCCCTCCCTACTCTTGCTGCAAACACGTGCTGGTTGTATTGTAGGTTCTCTAGAAAATCTCTAGAAAATCTAGAAAATCTCTCTAGAAAATCTAGAAAATCCTGGTTGAATGTTTTCTTGGTAGGTGAGCCAGCAGCTACAGACCATGTTCTACCACTTCCAGAGGGGTGATGGGGCTGCTCTGAAGGAGATGGCCTCTCACATCACCCAAAGAAAGTGCAGGGTCAGAGCCACTGCAGTTACAACAGCCAGAGAAACGGATGAAGATGATGCGGACAGCGTGGAGGAGATGGAGGTGAAAGGGGTGCCCCTTGGGTGGGGAGATGCAGATACCTTCAATTTTCTAGGAAATCAGCTAGTTTCATAGGGAAATGATCGGGGGGGTTATATCATCCAGAGAGGGCAAGGAACTTTCCTAAGGTCACACAGCCAGTCCTGGCAAAACTGGGAAGAGAGCCTGGGTCTCCAGTGGCCACAGCCAGCAGGTGTTGTATTTAGCTCTCTCCTGTATTTCTCCTCCAGGTCACAGCTACGAATGATGGGGCAGCTACAGATGGGGTTTGCCCCCAGCCTGAATCCACTGGTCCAGACTCCCAGACTATTAAAGAAGAGGATATAGTGGAGGATGGCTGGACCATTGTCCGGAGAAAGAAATGAGTGGGGCTGGAAATGGTTTGGGCCCTTGCTTGCTAGTTGTTTTGAGACTTGTCTGTAGGGGTTTGGGGGAGGGTTGTGGACTCCTGGACTGGTTGCCCCATCTCCACCCTCTTCCTGTTCCCCTGTCCAGTTTCCTCCAGGGGAAGAAGAGCGCTAGGGTCCTTGCTCTCTAGGTAGTGTGGCCTGGTTCACCACAGCCCCTTGGGCCTTAAGTTACTATCTGCACGATGAGGCCTGGTTTCCCAGCACATTGCCTCTCAGGTGCGGTCAGTGTGAAGAGGGAGGGATGAACGGGTGAGGGCGTGACTAGAGGAGAAGCTAAACACTGGTTGACAGTGACCAGGTGGATCTGTGAAGGGAGAGGACCAGCAGGAGAACCAATAGCCCTGTTGGGTCAGGAATGGTGAGATGAACTTGCAAACCAGAAGCGAGATGAGTCGAAGATGTGAACGAAGATAGCTGTGGTACCTCTCCTTCTCCCCCCGCCCATACACGCACAGAGCAGCTCTGTACTCCTGGCCAGAAATTGGAACCTCCCAGGAACACTCCCTTTCTGCAGCTTAGCCTCCAGTCCTGGGTGCCCTCAGGAAGTCTAAGACTTTGGCTAGGTGGTGAGCTTGGGGGACCTGGGCTTTGTTTTCTGGCTCCTCCAACCTCTTTCTGTACACTTATCCAAATCCTGGGATGAGGCTTAAAACCTCAATGAATAGTACCTTATTGTTTAATCTGTGACTTGACCCATGGAGAGCCTTGGAATCAGCCTTTTAGGAGCCGGGCTTCAGAGCTCCATAGGGGAGCAGTTTCTGGGCCCATCCTAGTAGCCTGTTACTTTGAACAAACAAACAGATGGACAAATGGTACACAGCAGCACTCTGAAAGTTTCCATAAGCCCGAAATAAACTGTATTTTTCTTTAAAAAAACAAAACAAAACAAAGAGTATCCATTGTCCTCCCCACCCATTCCCCTGTCCTGCCCTGTGGCCCTGCCATGGGTCTGGACGATAAAATACTGGGTAGTCTTGGGGCCGGGTGGAAGCTGTAAGCCATGGGAGAGGCAGGAGGGGTCTGCTCCCCGCCCCATGTAACACGTGTAAAGACACCGACTGAGGGGGCAGGGCTGGGCCAGGGCCGTAGGGTCAGTGGCAGAGCTGGCACTTGAATCCAGATCTCCTGCCTCCAGTGCTTTGGGGGGAATTGGGTGGAGGCAGGATCTGTAGGGTGTTGAGGGGATGGGGGACAAAATGGCCTAATTCGGGGGGGGGTCTAGCAACAGCTCCCACCCTTCCTGGGGACAGGGATTTTAAAAAAATTAACATCACTGTAGGAATTTTTTTTAAAGCCCATGTTTTGTGAAAAGATGAATTAAAAAAACCCAAGACCCAGCACTGGGGATTGAAAGTGCCCATGATGGGAGTTCAAGTATTGACTGAGCTGGGAGGGAGGGGGCTGGGGCCCCCCAACTGGACATGGGCAGCTAGGGTGTGGGGCAGGGGGCCCCAGTTCCTCCCAAACCCTCTAGGTCTTGTCTCGGGTCTGGGGGGCTTCGGAGGGTTCAGCAGTGGCTCCTGAAGCTGCCACCGGTGCCTCCTCCATCTCCCTGTCCTCCGACAGTGTGGGCCCTGGGCAGAACGTGTCCCCACGGCCTGCCCGACCGAGCACTGCCATCCAGCGCCGCTGCAGCTCCTCCGTCTCGGGGCTGAAGTACCAGCTCAGGTGGCTCTGGGTGATCTTGAAGACGTGCCTTCTGTCAGGCCGCTCCCCTGCCTCAGGAGGTCCCACCTCAAAGCCAATGAGGGGCAAGCTGCGCTGGGCTTTCACATCCTAGGGAACAGGACAGAGCTAGGGTCACCTTGAGTCTGGGCTTCTCACTAGTTTTGCATCTGCTGAACCCTTCTTTTCCTTCCCCTGCTCAGGAACCTTCCGTGGCTCCAGTGATAGCAATAGAAAAATGTCAACTGAGGCAACTAGCATGCAGGCTAGTTCAAATACCTGTTTCCTCCCACAACCAAAACCAGTTGGGCTAGTCTCTTTAGCACATGTACCAAATAATGTTTGCAGGCCTTTGTCTCGGCTCTTGCCTCCACTTACATGTTCTTCCCCGCTCCAATTGGACCTAGCAGTGCCTAACCTCCACTCTGGCTTCCTCCAGGAAACTAGCTCCGCCAGCTCACCCCACTTTTCCCTACGCATGTTGGCCCACAGTCACTCCTTGTCTCTACTTGGTCTTTGTCTCACAAGGGTAGGGGTTCTGATTTCCTCTTAGCCTTACCCAATCCCCCAAGGCCAAGGAAAGGTCAAGGACCGAAGGGGAGGAGGAACAGCCTGGTTTTGCCAGGTGGCGGGAAGGACCGAAGGAATAGGATGCACACCTGAGGGGCTCCGTAGATGTACAGCACCAAGGGTTCGTTCTCAGGCACCACGAACCATGCCTTATGCCAGCCTTTGCCACCTTTCTCCATGTAGTGTAGGAAGCTGCAGATGACGCTGTTCTCCGCAGCCACTGAGGCCTGTTTCTGTGGCCAGAGACATGGGGGACATCAGTGTCAATAGAAGGCCTGGCTTGGCTCCTCTTGGCTTTGACAACCCCTCAGCATAGGGATTGATGAAGCTGACGCTCGGATGGCAGGAGGGATTTGTCCAGTGCCCCTCGCCCTCCCTCCCCCCACAGTGAGTTAGACTGGAGACCAAAAGCCAGGCTTGTCTGCTGAACTGCCATGGCTGCTGCCTCCGAAGAGTTGGTGGGAGGGGTGTCTCAGCAGGGGCACCTGGCTGCTGCGCAGGCATTCTTCCATCAGTCACGCATTCCTCAAGTCACTTAGGCCTTTACACCTCCCCTGTTCGTCCTCTTCCATCATACACCTGTGCCTTACATTTAGCAAGAGGCAACCTAGCATCGTGGTGAAGAGGACTGGGAAGCTGGGTAAGGCAGTCTGGCTCAGAATCCCAGCTCGAGATGAAAATGTACTGACTTGGAGAACATACAGGTCCGTTGTAAGGATTAAATGAGTTAATGTATGCAAAATGCTCTGAATAGTGCCTGGCACAGAGTAAGCATTCTTTTTTAAAAAAAGATTTATTTATTTGAGAGAGCGAGAGCGAGTGCGCATGCACGCTAGTGGGAGTTAGGGGGCAGAGGGAGAGGGAGAGAAGCCTCAAGCAAACTCCCCGCCGAGTGAGGAACTCACCACAGGGCTCAATCTCAGGACCCTGAGATCGTGACCTGAGCTGAAATCAAGAGCCAACCGCTTAACTGACTGAGCCACCCAGGCGCCCCCAGAGCAAGCATTCTTTGAGTGTTAAATAAAATAAATACCTCAATTTGGTTAAAAAACAAAACCAAAAATGTGTGTACATGCTATAGCACAGCTATTAATAGTAGTGATCTAGTGGGTAGAAGCAATACGGTGTTTTATTATTTCTGTTTATATTGTCTAATTTTCTTCAGTGCACATATCCTACTTTGTAATAAGAAAAGATAATTTGTTAATTGAGAAAACATCCTAGCTCTGCCATTCGCTGGCTGTGTAATTTGGGCAAATAACTCCCTGGGCCTCAGTTTCCTCATTTGTAACCCAGGGATAGTAATAGCATGGATAGTTTAGTTACTGTGAGGATTAAACGTCTAAAGCACTTAATAAAAATCGGTCTTTCATTGACTCTTGCACTCATTTTACTCACTCCGAGCCTGGGTCACTTGCTCAGTGGATGCACATGGCACCCTAGCATTTCAGAGATGCCCAGGCGTCAGTCACACCGGCTGGGTGGCTGGGGCCCCTGTGGTCAGCGTGGGAGCGTTAGTCGGGGACCTGGCTCTTACCTCCAGGATAGACCTCCGGCGCTGGGGTGTATGCTGGCTGCAGGCCGGGCTGCTCCCGGGCACCCCATGCAAGGCCACGTAGCAGTCCGTGCACACACGGTTGGAGCGGTTGTTGTCATAGATGAGGCGGGCCCGGAACTCGGAGCACTTCCCACAAACCACCTGGGGTGGCAAGTGGGCAAAAACAGCCTGGTTCCTGCAGGTCTTTCCCTTCAGTGGACCAACTCCCACAGTGGCCTCGTGGCCTCCCGCGCTTGGAGGGTAACCCGCTGAGAAGTGGGCCTCTGGGCTGCCAGCCTGTCCCCTCCCTAGCTCTGCCCCTGCCTGCCAAAACTCACATGCCCGCAGGCCTTGCAGTGGTGCCTGCGTTTGGTGATGGAATTGAAGGGCTCCTGGCAGCGCATGCACATGGTGACTTCCTTTTCTCGGATGGGTGTAGGTGCCCGCTTCCCAAGATCCACGTTCTGGAGAGAGGGCCAGGTCCCAGGTCAGAGATAGCTACTCCCCAGCCCAGTGCAGCCAGCCCCTGCCCTCTGCCCCAAGGCTTGGATCATCATTGGGAGGCAGCACATACGTTCAGAAGACCTGCCTTTGAGTCCTTGCTCTGTCCCTACCTCACTGTCATTTTTACTTCCTGGGCCTCAGTTTCCCCCGTGATTTCTCTGCAGCATACCAAAAGAAGACTGTGCTTCCGAGGTCATGCACTGCCTCTCTGGTCTTTACTCTCTGGGAAGGGGCAAGGATCATTTCAAAGTAAAGTGGGGACTTCGAAACCTGGAAGGGGTCCCAGGGCAAGGGGAGAGGGTGGGGACTCTTACTGGAGAGTTAGGGGGTGTGTCTTCATCTTCCCTGTTTGTTGAGTTCAACAGTTTGAAGGTCTCCAGCGTCTGTTCATGCTTCAGGAGAGTGGAGTTGATGGCCTATAAAGGAGGTTGTAGGAAATAAGAGGTCAGATCACCTCACAACGCACCCACTTCCACCCTCACCTCACCTTCTTGTGACTTAGCCTGGAGTCAGAAAGTTGGCTTCTAGGCCAAACTCTGCCCCTTGCTAGGCATACGATTTTGAGCAAGCCCAATCCCAAATCCAGTTCTCAGTTCTTAAATTTGTGAAATGGTGGAGGGGATCCGTGGTTGAAAAAACTCAGGTCTTCCTGGCCACTCTCTGGGCTTAAGGTTTTACAGGATTTAACTCACTGGGGTTACACCCTCAGCGGAGCCAGCTTTCTAAGGGGAGAATTTGTGAGTTTCTGTTTAACTCCTGGACCTTGGCTTGCTTCTCTGTAAAACGGGGATGGTAAAGTTTGTTGGAAAGCAGGTGTCCAGGCCCATTCTGGTCTGATATGAGTTTTAGGGGAGAGTCCACCAACCCCAAGGAGACCTGTTAATACTCCTCCAGCCCCCTACCACAAAGCCTTCTTGGATGTTACCTGGACCCAGTCTTTCTTCTCCTCCTCAGTCCTTGGGGAAGGGGGGGGGTGGAAAGAAAAATGTTGGGTTAGGCAGGCCAACCAAAAGCAACGGGAATGGTAACAAGTAGGTATTTTGGAGTCAGACAGACCAGGGTTTTGACCCTCTGGTCCTTAACTTACTGTGTGACGTTAGGCAAGTCATGTAGCCTGTCTGAGTTTATTTACTCAATAGTTACTAATACTTTCCAGACCCTGTGCTAGGAACCTGGGGCTTAGAGAGGACCCTACCCTCAAGGAGCTCATGGTCTAGGAGGGGAGATAGACAGGGACAATACAGGGGGATCAGCACTGTGACAGAGGGAAAATAGGGCTGAGAAGCCCTGAAGAAGAGACTTGCCCCAGCCTGGAATTTGGGTGGGGCTGTTAAGGAAGGTTTCTTCAAGGAGGTGCTGGGCCTCAGGTAGAGGGCTATGGGTGAGGTGTGTGTAAAAGTATGGAACATACAAGAAACCATAAATAGTTCCCTGTTGTCGGAATGGCAAATTTGAGAAAGGGGGGCAGTTTGTTTTCCTTTAGTCCATTTTCTTCTCCATTTTATATGGAGAGAATTATCAGTCTGGGTTGTTCTGAGCAGTAACTGAAGTGGTATGTAAAGTGCCCAGCACAATCCTTGGTCCACTAGGTGCTCAGTCAATGCGAGTTACGTCTTCCTTTTGCCTTCCTTTCCCACCTCTCCTTGTCTGCCCCGTAGTCTCCAAGGCCTCTATGCTGGGATAACTCCATAAACCTCTCACTAGGAATAGGACCCAGTTTCTTGGCTGACTCCTGCCTGGCCTCCTTCTAATCCCCTTCCACATCTACCCACCAGACATCAAAAGTATTTTTCTAATATGAAAATCTGACTACATCCTTAGAACCGCTTCATGAAAAATTAAGGATAGGAGTTAATATTTAGGTTTGCAATGCTATTTATTATGAAAAATTGGAAGCAGCCTAAGTGTCCAACAACAAGGGATCAGATAAAGAAAAAGAAATGATGGTACATCATTACTGTCAGACAACAAAAATGGTATAGAAAGCTGCTTATAATATGTTAAGTGAAATATAGTATGTTAAGTGGTATAGAAAGCTCTTTATGTTAAGTGAAAACATATAAAATACACATAGCATTCCATTTTTGTTGAAAAACATGTGACATGAGTGTTTATATTTGTCAAAACTTACTGATGGTACACACTTAAGACCTGTGCATTTCACTGTGTGAAAATTTGGCCTCAAGAAAAGGAGAGGACATTAAATACTGATCTCTAGTTAATAATATGCACACCAAAGTCTTTAGGGATGAGGGGTAGTGATGTCTGTAACTTCATTTGAAATACATGTTAAAAAACCAGATGGATTGGTGGATGGATAAAAGGATAGATTTGTGATAAAGTAAATATAGCGCAATGTTAACACTTGTAGAATCTGTATGGTGGGATTACAGTTGTTCGCTGTATAATTCTTTAAACTTTTCTGTATTTTGAAATATTTTCATAATAAAATATAGAAAGGAAACGTGTGTGTGTGTATACACATACACACATATATGCAAATAGAGGAAAGGCCTGGGGTGAAGTATCATGTCTTTAATTTACTTTAAAATGGTTCAGCCAAAGATATATATGGCAAAATGTCAATAGTTGTTGACTCCTAAGTCAGTGGTTCTAAACCCTGGTGCACACCAAGGGAACTTTGAAAACTCCTCATGTTCAGGCTATGCCCGAGACAAATTCAATCAGTCTTTGGGGGTGGGTTTCAGACATTGGTATTTTTTAAAAGATTTTATTTTTAAGTAATCTCTACACCCAACATGGGGCTCGAACCTCTAACCCCGAGATCAAGAGTCGCATGCTTTAACTGACTGAGCCAGCCAGGTGCCCCTCAGACATAACTATTTTTTAAAAGCTCCCCAGCTGATTCCTGTGTTGCCAAGGTTGAGCACCAGTTGTCCAAATGGTAGGTATATGGGTGTTTGTTCTATTTCTACTTTTCTGGATATTTGAAATTTTTCGTTAAAAAAATTTTTTAAAGGGCAGTACAAGCAATTGCAAGGTAAGCCCTCCATGCCTTTCCTCTGCCACTAGGAGGAAACCCTACACTGCTTAGTGCTCCTTTCTGGCTCCATTGTCTCAGCAGCCCCCTCCCTCCCATCCTCCTAGCAGAAGACCTGAGTCATGTGACTTGTCACTCAGGTTCTACTGAGCCCTCTCCTGGATGTGCCCAACATTGGCTTTGTTCTTGCTTCCTGGCTGCAGGCCTTGGGGATGCTCTCTGGTCTCCCAGAGCTTCAAAGGTAACACTCATCTCTCTTTTCTGCCTCCATGCAGTCCCAGCAATGAGGGTTCTGATTCTCATTTTTCACTTCCTTGCAGCCTGTCAGAAACAGATCATCTACCCATATGCATCCATGCCCTGGCCCTGACCCTGACCTCGATTCCCTATCAATCACTTGGGCCCTCAGAAGGCAGCATGAGCTTGATTTCCCACTCTGCTCCTTTCTAGCTATAGGATCTTGGGCAAGGTACATAACTCTTCTGTGCCTCAGTTTGCTCATATGTGAAATGGGATTGATGGTAACAGTAGCTACTTCAAGGGTTGTTTTAAGGATTCAACTAGTCAGTTTAAACAAATTGTTTAAGTTAAAATTAACTTAAAACAGTGCCTAACATAAGAGCAAGTCTTCACTAAATGTGAGCTACTATTATCATCCAAGTAGAGGATGGATATGAAAGCCCCTTTGTAAAATGGCTAGACATTATTTTAAAATGTTATTATTTTAAAAAGTTTTATTATAAAACATTTCAAGCATACAAAAAAGCAGACAGGATAGCACAAATTCATTAAATGTATGCCTATTATATAGATGCAAATTTAAAAATATTTTGCTGTATTTACTTCATATATATGCATATATTCACATATAGTCATATAGGTACGTATATATATGTGTGTGTATATGTATATATGTGTGTATTTTTTTGGTTGATAAGTCATTTAAAAATAAATTACAGATATCATGATACTAAATCTTCAGCATGCTTCACGAAAAAACAAGGCCATTCTCCTGTATAAACATTATACCATTATCACACCTGAAAAAGTTAGCAGTAATTACCCAACAGCTATTGTTCAGTTCATATTTAGATTTTCCCTATTGTCTTGCAAATGTATTTTAGGGTTTTGCTCTAATTAGGCTCCTATCGGGGACCAAGCATTGCATTTGGTTGTTATTTCTCTTAAATCTCTGAATCTTCAATAAACCGTGTTGTTATTCTTCCTGTTTGGATTAATATCTCATTCTTCCCTCTCTTCTAACAAAACCCACCAGAAGAGCAAGCCTGCATCTTTGGGAAAAGGTGCCCATCTTTTCTCTGGAAGGATCTCTT